ATTACTCTTGAACTGTCTTGAACTCAGTATGATTAACGAGTCAATGTACTGCAGTCTTACACTGTACATATACAACATACATGTCAAATGAGGCAGTGTCAATAGAAACTCAAGGCAGTACAACCAGTGTTGGTTTATCTAATCAATGTTTTATATTTGTTCCCTCCCTTTGCCAACAATGTTGCCCGGTTTCATAAGGGCATTTTCTGAAGAGCAGCTGTTTCTTAGACTGGCTACACATGCGTTTGCGGTGTCACACAAAGGTGCAGCCTTTAGATTACTTTAGATCACTTTACATGCACATCAAAAACCTGATGTTTGCCTTTTGCTCTACTGAGGGAAGTTGTAAGAAAAATAACATTTATCAAATTTGACAATATGAATATATACAGATGCATGCATCCATTTGAGCTTGCAAACTGAATTGCAAATGCATATTTATAATCATTGTATGTTTATAATATGTAATTTATTTTACTGTATAATTTCCTTATATTTCCCCACACCTTGATTAAAATATTATATTTTAATAAAATATACTGAAAGCAGAATTTAAAAAAGGGTGTGTTGTATTACATTATCATTTGTATTTTGCATTATTTCCTTCTTAATGAAACTTCATGTCATGATTTTTCATATTTTAAAGGTGTGACAACAATGCCAGTTAAGAGGCCGAAAACAAATAAAAAAGGTAAATATCAATGTTTTTATTTTGTAAATGTTTATTTTCTATTAATTCTAATATGATTTGATATCATTTTATATTAATTTTAAATGCTTATTTCCTTATGTACATTTAGGATACATAAATGAGACATTCTGCTATAAATGCTTAATAAATAAGCTTTCAATAATACATTTTTCATTTTTATTTTTTTTTTTTTTTTAAAGGTTTTAATTGATTTTTTTTATTAGCATCATGTTTATCTAAATCCTGTCTGTATGAATGTAATTATTTTTACTGCAACTAAACAACAATCAGAAATTTCTTATATTGTTAACATTTGGTGTCCCCTCAGTAAGACTCCTTTTTAATTTTAATTTTATTTTAGTTTGTTTTATTTTATTTTGTTCTATTTTATCCTGCTATAAATACTGTAAAACTTTTTGATGACTAATGTTTAATTTCCGGATGAATCATTTCTCGAAAGGTCCACAGGGTCAACCATGCTTGAAAAAATAGCTGAAGAAATACCCATAAATGGTTATGCAAGACATCACATTTCTTACAAGTCTGAAATCTTGATCAAGAAAAGGATCAGGATATGAGCGCTGCCAAATGAGGAATGGTCAGTTTGTTTTAATTCGTGAAAGCACAGGTAATTCAGAAACTTGAGACACACCTTTGTACCTGCAAAGATGCTGAACGTCAGATTATCTGCATCACAGACAGGATGTTCAAACCTCACACGCAATCATATACGTGATCACTTGACATTTACTGGCATTTTGCTGCAAGCTTGATGGAAAATGTGATTATTTTGACACACTTATGATCATATCCTACTTGAGAAATTCATATGTAGGTCTACAAAGTAACTCAGGACACTTAAGACTCTAGTTATTTACACAAGACCATTAGTCTTCATCTCATTCTCCATATCAGCTGCTGAATGGTTTATTAATCATGCATTGTATATTTATTTTGCAGGTTTTAGGAGTGAATGATATTTTTACTAATCCTCATCACACATGTACACAGAAGCTGTAAATTATTCACACCCTGCTGTAAATATAATATTCATTAAATACATTTTAATAAACGTCTCATCAAACATCGTTTAGAGTGGCAGAGAAACTGCTGCTCTCACACACACATACACACACACATGCCATCACTGGACTTTTGTAATAGCAGGTTGACTTTTTTTCTGTCACATACATCACAGAAAGCTGGCAGGCCCTCCCTGCAGGGTGGGAAGAGAAATATGAATGAGAAATGATATAAAAGATGGTATGAAAAAAAATCCAACAGTACTGGAGCTCTACCTGTAGACCTCTCTCACCTCCCACCATGAAGTGGAGAACATCCACAGTCTGTATACTGCTTCTGGCGCTTACCGGGATTCAAGTTGATTCAAAGACAGGTAAGACTTAACTTTCAGTCAAAAAAAAACCTCCTACTTGAAATGATTCTTGAGGGGTTTCATCTGTCTTGTTTATTTTATTTAGTTTTATTCTTTAATACTCTAAAATCTTTGGTGATAAATCTTTTATTTTTGGATGAACTAATTATTTTCCTAAAGGTCCACAGGGTCAAACATGCCCATATTTGACTAAATACCCACAAATGTGTTTTTTATTATTTTATTTTATTTTTTATATTATTTAAAAAATGTTTAAGTGTGTTAGAATTTGAGTATGAACATCAGTTATTAAGTAAAAAAAAATAAAATGTTAAATTCACAGATTTTTAAAAATCATTATATGTTGCTTGAGGATTGTAACCTTGACCATGGCAATGTTGGTGCAAATAGCTTGATGATGTGGTTGGAAACAGCATTGGTATCATCATCTGGAAAGAAAGAAAAAAGAACCAACTAGCTGATGACTGTTGTGAAGATCATAGTTTCATCACCCGAACCTGATGCTATCAGTGCCATTGATGACTTGCCTTAGAAGTTACAAAATATTTTCAGTTGTGTAAAAGTGACAACGCTGATTTACTTCCCTTCATGGTGACTTGAAGTTCAGCTTGATCAGCTTTGCATAAATTTGTGGATCGACTGTTTTAGTACAAATGTAAAAGTGACCAAATCAGGAATTATCTGAGAATGTCATTTGAATTACTGAATTTTAATTGAGTTTGCAAACAGAGAGCATAATTGTAATTAAAGTTTAAGGACATATAATTCAAATCTAAACACATTTATATAACTGCTGTAAGCATGGATTTTTAATAATACATTACATGTTTTACATACATACATTATTTCAGTGATCAACATTTGAAATGCCACTTATAGAAATTTGTATTTAATTTATTTTTAATAAATTATATTTTAATTTATGGGCTGTGGTAGAAGAACAAAAATTCCCCAAATGCTTTAAATTATCTCAAAATTTTCCAAATTAAGTCAAACTTTTCCTTTTTTTTTTTTGCAGTCTATCCCAGTAACCATGTCAACAGCATCTGTAGCATGTGGGGAAACTTCCACTTCAAGACATTTGATGGAGACGTGTATCAGTTCCCAGGCACATGCGAGTATAACCTGGTGTCTGACTGCCAAAGTCTCATTCGCCAGTTCTCGGTTCACGTGAAGAGAACAGAACACAGCACTGGCCCAAACATCAGCAGGGTGTCGATTACCATCAATGACATTGGTGTTGAGTTGACAGAGAAACAGGTCGTAGTCAATGGAGAAAAGTAAGATTCTGGGAAACCCATCTGGCTGCGTATTTGCTCTCACAGCTTTAAAAGGCTCTAAAATGTATTCTGGTTGGTCAATTTTTACATTTGAATCTTTTCTCTTGTTCAGAGTAACGCTGCCTGTGCACATCGCAGGTATTCTTGTGGAAGAGAACACAATTTACACCAGACTCTATTCCAAAATGGGTATCACTGTCAAGTGGAATAAAGAGGATGCTGTTATGGTGAGGTTATCGGCTAGTGTGGCTCATCGTGAACTCAAAATGACTCTTACAAAAGTACATATTTAACTACAGATTTTTTAAATGGATATCAGAATTATTTAAGATACAAACCTAAAATACACTTAACTTGCTTAATTCCTTCCAAGATGGACAACAGTTCAGTAATTGAGTCAGATAAGTGATTTGTGGATAGAATCGGTACTAACAATATGAGTCATTTATTAGTTCAGACTATACTGCTATGTGCTATCACTCTGTTTTTGATTCACTAAAAGAACCGGCTCGCATGAGTCATTTGTTGTCAATGCAATGTCAATCACCGTATTTTCCGTATGTCCCACCTGAATACCAACCTCACTGATGGGCGGGACTACTGTTAATAATTGAAACGGCGAAATACATGATAGACAGACCCAGTACTTTAAAATCACGTTGGAGATGGCGTTTTCTAGTCAGAGGTAGACAAAATGTTCAAGAACAGGTGTTTGGCTTTTATGGCTTTAAATTTTACGTTTATAATCTTTTTGAGAAGTTGAAGGAGCAGAATTTATTTATTGCACAAGTTTTTAATTGAGGTATAACTAGTTTACGCCACAGGAAACCAGTAGGAGACATTTCAAGGGAGTGACCAAACTGAATGATTTAGCATATTGTGCAAGACAAAGCAACATGTGAAGTGAAAATGCTATATAAGGCAATGTTCTGTTACACACTGAAATGTACAGTAGCTATATCCGTCCTTATGAACATGGTTGTTTCCAATACTTCATTTCGGTCTGCAAGTAATATTCACTGGTGTATACTGACAAAAACGAGTACCATGCAAATACCATGGTATATATGGTATATATAGTATCATTTGGTACCATTGTATTATTACCATCATTGTACCATGGTACTGTTTCCAAGGGCTGGCACTGGCCTTTTCCCACAAGACTGAACACAAATTATGTCTATTCCATATTCCAGTGTTTTGCTTGCTCTGATCACATAACATTAATACTGACATAAAATCCAAATGGCCAAAAATATTGTCAAATGATCTAACAATTAAGTTCTATGTGGTCCTTTGTTAGGTGGAACTCGACTCCAAATATTCCAATCGCACTTGTGGGCTGTGTGGCGATTTCAATGGCGTCCCAGTTTATAGTGAGTTCATTGAATCCGGTAAGTCACTTTTACAGCCTGATTTCTTAGTCATTATTTGGCCAATTATGAACAGTATAAATGATTATTCCATCCTCATGGATTTCTAATTTGATGAATCTCCAAGAGTTTTAAGAATATCCAAGATAGCCAAGTGTCTTATTTATTGCAGGTTGGAAGGTTGGCTATGCTGAGTTTGGTAATATGCACAGAGTTCCCAACCCAACACATGCCTGCAAAGATCCTTCTGAAACCGACGATGAGCAAAATGTGGAGAACAAATGTGAAAAATTTGTAAGTTACAGAAGAAAGTTGATCATTTCAAATTAAATTTGTTAGTCACTCCCTCTATGTCCCAACAGCAACTCAGAATTCCAGTATTGTTACCTAATATGAACCTTTGAGATTCAAGATATTTCATGTCCTTTTCACAACAGCAGGCAGATTGTGCAGACCTTTTGAAGGATGAAAAATGGTCTTCTTGTAGCAGGGTTTTGAACCGTGAGCCGTATATCAAGGCCTGTACAAATGATATTTGCTTACGTCAACCTGAAGATGAAGACACCAACACTTCTGCGCTCTGTGCGACGTTGTCTGAATATTCACGTCAGTGCTCTCACGCTGGAGGAACTCCGCCGTCCTGGAGAACGGCAAACTTCTGTGGTAAGTACCTTGATAATTCCAGTGAAAATGATGGGATTCTTCTCTCTTGAGCTGTTCTTTTGTTTTTATTTCTTATTATAAGCAGATGTAAAGACTCTGTGTGTCTTGTTTTCTCATGCAGCTGTGACATGCCCGTACAATATGGTACATTCTGAAAGCGGCTCGCCCTGTATGGACACATGCTCACACAAAGACACAAACACACTGTGTGAGGAACACAACATAGATGGCTGCTTCTGTCCGCCAGGTCAGTAACACTATTTATATAATATAAACCACTATTTATTAATATAAACTACTGTTCAAAAGTCTGGGGTCGTTTTTTTTTTTTTTTATTCAACAAGGATGCATTAAATTGATCAAAACTGACAGCAAAGACATTTACTGTATGATGTTACAAAAGATTTATATTTTTGAAGAATCCTGAAAAGAGTAAGCAGCACAACTGTTTTCAGCATTAATGATAATAAGACATTTTTCTTGAGCAAAGGATCATGGAAGACTGGAGTAATGGCTGCTAAAAATTCATCTTTGCCCCACATATATAAATTATGTTTTAAAAAATATTAAAATACAAAACAGTTATTTTAAATTGTAATAAAGTTTCATAATATTAGTGTTTTTTATGTAATTTTTTAAGAACCACATAAAGTTGATGATGCATTGTGTCTTCGTTATAGGAACTGTGTTTGATGACATCTCAAACACGGGCTGCATCCCAGCAGAAAAGTGTCAGTGCAAGCATGACCGCATCTACAGCACAGGAGAGATCCTACGCAAAGATGAGGAAGAATGGTATAAAACACATTTAACTCGGTTCTCCTCTTATTTCAATTATGGTTATGTATTGCACTTTTTTTTTTTTTATCCCAGTGCATTCTGTCCCCTTTCATGTCTTTTACTACTTGTATAGAAGAAAAATATTTATATTCGTCAATATTACTATTAACTGCATATACCTGACAAAATGCTAAACTATGATGACATTGGATGTATGGGGAAAACGGCAATTTTATAAATATATAAAATCATCAGAACTGTGATTTATCTAGTTGGCATCTGAAGCTCATTGTTTAGCAGCATCTGTTTGTAATTGTATTGTGTAATTAGTATATGTGCGGAGGGAAACTGGATCTGTACGAGTATTCCCGGCCCTGGCCTGTGCACTGTAGAGGAAGGATCACACTTCACCACCTTTGATGGGAAAGAATTCACTTTCCATGGAGACTGTAAATATGTGCTCTCAAAAGTAAGAGTGTTTTAGTTACTAACTACACCTTATTTAACTGTTAAGACATGTTGGGGTTATTTTTGTATCCATGCTTTAGGAATATGTGAAATTCCTAATAAATGTCAACGTCTGCATTTGTTTTTGTAGGACTGTAAGGAATCCAGGTTCATCATATTGGGTCAGATTGTTCCTTGTTTTACTCATCAAACTGATACCTGTTTAAAGTCTGTTGTGGTGCTTTTTAACAACGACATGAAAAATGTGCGTACACCTCTCTACTTCCACAATCTTGTATATTTGGCTTTTATAGCAAACAAGTCTTTTTGACAGTTTGAGTGTTAATGAGATGTGCATATTACAGTACTGCTCAAAAGTTTAAGATCAGGAAGATTTTTTTAAATGTTTATGCTTACCAAGGCTGCATTTATTTGATTGAAGTACAGTCAAAACAGCAATATTGTTAAATATTATTACAATTTAAAGCAACTATTTTTCTATTTTAATATATTTGAAAATGTGGTATATTCCTGTGATTGCAGTGTATGAAATTTTAGTCTTCAGTGTCACACTGTGCTCTTTCTTCTTCAGGCTCTGATTATTAAAGCTGACGGGACGGTACAGCACAATGCAGACGTTACACTTCCTTACATGACAGGTGAGGGAGAAGAAGCTCTTTATTTATTTTCTGTGTTTTAGAGCCTATGTGCTAAAAATATATATGAAGTGTTTTTCAAACACTTTGACTCTTTTTCTCTCAGCTGAGTTCACGGTGTTCATGCCGTCATCGTTTCACATCATGCTTCAGACCAGCTTTGGGCTGCAGGTGCAGGTACAGCTGGTGCCTCTTATGCAGGTGTACATCACTGTGGACCAAAGCTTCCAGGGCAAGACTTGTGGTGAGACCTCTGTCTTAAAACGCATGATACAACATCTGAATTATAAAGTGAATCCATCATGATAGCCAATGATGTGTGATTTCTGTGTTTATGCAGGTATCTGTGGAAATTTTAACAAAGTGCTGTCAGATGATCTGAAGACCCCTCAGGGAGTGGTGGAGGGTACACCGGTTTCCTTCGCAAACGCCTGGAAGGCCCAGACCAACTGCCCCGACCGTACTGAGAGAATGGACGACCCCTGTTCCTACAGTAGTGACAGCGGTGAGAGACTTTTTGATTCTGAAGTCAGGGTGGACAGTTTCAGTTTCATATTTTATTTGTTCTATACATCTACAGAAGGGTTTAGAAATTCATTTTAACCAAACCTTAATCATAGGGCTGGGAAAAAATATCGAATGCGATTTTCATGCGAATCTCGTCAGTAAAGCCGCTTCTGGTGATTAGTAGTAAATCTCCAGCACGTGCTTTCAGATGGAGCAGCATTTACTACCCAAAGCCGTAGATCACTGACAAGCTACACAAAATCACGTTCAAAATCGCAGGCGATTTTTTTGCACAGCCCTACTTAATCAAAACCACATCAACAGCTGGCAGTATTCTTCTAATACTGTTGCATCAGCCAGTATTCATACATAAAAATAGTTGGTGCACATGTTTAATACTAGTCTACACTGTATCTGTTCATTTATGCATTTTGTTGTTAAGTAGGAGTTTTGCTTAAAATACCATTGTGGACTCAAGTCTCAAATCTCTGAAGGCTGAAGATCTGGAATCCATGGCAGCTTACACTGGCCTAGGCCCGCCCATGAGGCCGTTTGACCGACATGTCAAACAACCAATCACAGTTCGTTTCGTTCATCGTCACGCTTCGGGGCGTGGAAATGTCACCACAATAACAGACTGGCATGTAAAACTCTCGGATGTATTTTAAAGCTTCTATGCCGCGAAATTTAAATATTTCACATACTTTTGAAAATCCAGCGTTTAGTTGATCCTGATAAGCGCTCGTCGTCACAGTTGTAAACACGACGGCTTTCTATTTCGTGAGGGGATTTGGTGTCACGGCATCTTTGTTTCCAGGCGGAACGTTAAGGAACGCGACACACACGTCTACCGGAAATCCTGTATAATTCAACCAATCTGACGACGACTTCGAAACTCCTGAAGTGTTTCCACTTTTAGCCAACAGTCCGTGGGCGTGACTGAGGCTGAGACTATGCCCCTGGTAACCAGCCTATCACAACTCTATTTTTTGTTTTTAGAAGGTAGATTCCTATATATATATTCAAATGAAAATGGCAACATCGTTTTATAAAGTATATGCATTCATATGTGCTTCATTTTCACTGGAGGAAACCTGTTGGTGTGATGTGGGGTGAATGCAGCGAAAACTTAAGCCCCGTTCACACCGCCAGCGACTTTTTTGCTGTTTGTCGCTTGTAGCTGGCAATTGATGTCGCTAGTGGTCGTTCCCATTACTGGTTGCCTAGTTACCCCCTAACACTCCACTACAGCAGATGCATCACGTGCTCTCCACTGACTTCACTCCCATTGGTTGTCGCTCGCGAAATTCGCTGCTTATTTGCATAAAGTCGAAGAATTCGGAACTTTTGTCGCTTGACTCGCATCGCTTGACACGCCCACAATCCGTCGCCAACTGTCACTGTCGCTCGTGTCGCCGGAAGTCGCCAGCTCTCCATTGAAAATGAATGGGATTATGTCGCTCTGTCGCTGTGTGTCGCTGGCGGTGTGAACGGGGCCTTAGGCTACAGTAGATGGGGAACCGATTGCTCCCCCATGATATTTTGTAAACTGTATTTATGACAAAGAACTGCACAGATGCAGATATTATAACAATCTATCGATAAACACACACCTTGTCCTCTGTTTCTCGCTCTGCGCAGCTGCGGCCTGTGGATTGAAGAAGAACGCGCTGAAAGACGGGGAGGAGCCGATCGAAGTCTGCCACCGTTTTCACATGAAATTTAAAGGGGACTGAGGCGATCACAAATTCGTGTACAGTTTATGGAACTAATCGCAAAATTTTAATGGCCTAGCGACGCCCATGGTGGTTACTGACGTATATGATCACACTGGTATGATTAGCGCAGCTTTTGGCACTGAGCCAGAGAGGGGCTTGCCCAGTGAGCGCTTGTCAGTGTTTTTAACCACATAATGTTTTAGGCTATTTTAATGTTTCAGACATTTAAAATACACATCATCACTATAAACCATTTATAATAATAATAATAATAATAACAATATACTCCGATGTATATGGAAACGTAATTAAGCTTTCAAACATAATTAGATTTTTTTTCACATCAAACGCACATTGTATGTAGCCTACCTGTAAAGTTCACTTTATTTTTCTTCCTGTTTACCAGCCAGTCACTTCATGTCTTTCAGAAGAAATGGATGAAGTCACATGGTGTAAATCCGGCTACAACATGCTAGCGCATATAGCCCTAAACTAAGCCATCAACTGTGATCATAGTGAATTTGTTTGAGCCACAAAATGCATTGACATATATATTTGAGAATCTGAATATCTACAGTTTTGGCGTGAATAATTTTGCATGCCTCGTTTGAACGGTGTGCTTGACATATTAACTCGACCCTATTAGGATTATTAAAATATTAACATTGTATTCTGAATGAAGAATAACATAAAGACAGTGCAGTGTCATGATTATAACTATATTACTATAATGCGCTAAATTGTTCATTTCCGTGACTGCATGAAATTTGAATAATTTGTTGTTATCAACATTTGTTGAAGGAATAGCCTATAAGAACATAAAATAATATACTGTAGAGCTACAAGAAAACACATTTATTCATTCCTTCTGTCTATTAAATCCATTCACTGATGGTTTCTTATGTTTATTTAAGATTTGTAGCCTATATATTATAACTATTGTTATATATTTACTTTTCAGCTTCATTAAAGCTATGTCTATTTTTGTAAACCTACATCAGTAGGTGGCGATAAATGAGTGTCTGATTTACGTATTAGCACGTTATTAAATATTTGACTCAATTGATTCATAAAAATCACTGAATCATTTACAAATGAAACGGTGAACATGATAGAAATTGTTCATTCACTTAGGTCTACGATTTGTTCACAAACAATGATTCATTCCTCCACGAAACCCCACTAATTATTATATCTTTATTATTATTATACTTAATTATACTTATAAACTATTATATGACTTGAAATTTACTGTAGTAATTAATACAGAGACACTAATTTGGGCAAACAGCACTAATGACTTGTTTAGGACTTGAAGCTTAAAGTTGAGGACTTGCAACTCGACTTGGACTTGCCTATCTTGACTCTGGACTTGACTCGAGATTTGAATGCAAAGACTCAAGACTTACTTGTGACTTGCAAACAATGACTTGGTCCCATTTCTGCTTTTAGAACACTTTGCCGAGCACTGGTGTTCCAAGATGAAGGACAAGAAGAGCCTCTTTGCCAAATGTCACGCCACTGTCAATCCTGACAGCTACTACAAAGTATGATCTGAAACAGTTGCAGATTATAGAGAGACAAGTAGCATTTTCTTAACCTTTTGCAACTAAGCAACCCAGTATTCATTTTATATTATTTATATTGTATTATAGCATTTATTAATAGCTTTTATTTTTTATAGTTTTATAGTTTTTTTTTTCAGTTTTGTTTTGTGCTTTTGTTCATTTTTATTAATATAAAAAAAAAATCTATTTAGCTTCAAATCTATGACAAACTAAATGCAATTTATCCCAGCTTCCACAACATGTCTATGTGCTTTCAGAGATGCAAATACTCCAGCTGTACCTGTGAGAAGAGTGAGGACTGTCTGTGTACGGTGTTCTCCTCATACTCCCGGGCCTGTGCGGCTAAAGGAATATTCCTCCAAGGCTGGCGAGAAATCGTGTGCGGTAAGATGGCTGAAAATGTAGATGGATGCATGATGAGAAAATTTCAGTGAACAAAACATAAAGTATTTTATTCTGCTTTTGGTCGAAAATCGTGTGATTAATTGTGACTTTGTTTTCCACACTAACAAAGAAATGCATATAATTTTATACAGTGTACAATTTTTCCTTTGCACTATTCTCTGTAAAGTTTTATTATAAAATAAAACTTTACAGAGAAAAATTTATTATAAAAATATGTCAAATTTATTATAAAAATGTGATATTAAATACATTTGAAATGAATTATAAAGGTTCAGGTGTTTATATCTTGGATTAAAAGTAAATATTTTCCAGATAATATTTTATTTTAGTACAATGATAATGAGCCGATTTCAACTTCATGTCATTATAATATAATGCTTACCATTTTTCACACACTATGTAAATATATAAAAATATATAGCTGGCTTTACATTTTAGGAAGGGCATCCTTTACAAGTGGGATCATCATATTTGGGTGTGTCAAAGAGCTAGAAAATCCCTCATCTAACCTAGAAGATTAGAAGAATGCTTATGTAATTTTGCTACATACAGTACATCTTTAAGACACAGTGCCTTTCAAACTGGTCCCTACAGAGAAGTATACCGAGAATTGCCCGGCCTCGCAGAACTACTCATATCAGCTGCAGAGCTGTCAGCGTGCCTGTTTGTCTCTCGCCTCTGAGCGCCAAAGCTGCAGTGTCGACTTCGTGCCTGTTGATGGATGTGCATGTCCAGAAGGACTCTACCAAGATGAGAATGGACTGTGTGTACCTATGGAAAAATGTCCATGTTACCGCAACGGACAGAAAATTAATCCCGGCAAGTCTGTCACCATTAGGGATGAACACTGGTAAGTGAATGTTAATATAGGTATTAGTGCACTAGTTATACAAGAACTTTGATTTTAATAGAGTTTGATCTTACTTCTCTGTCCAGTGTTTGCATGAATGGAAAACTCCACTGTCGTTCCTGGAAAACCCAAACTCTGGGTATGAAAAATTACTTTCATCTACTGCTTAGGTTAAATAAATTTGCTTTTGGTTTACATGGACTACCATCACTAGTACTGGGCTATCATGGCATCTGCAACCAAGGCATTATAGAGTTATCTAGTCAAATGTGATATTAAAATTAACTGGCTAACCAAGGTTTTGATAACCAACAACAGTGAATAATAAATTGTGGTCAATTAATATGGATTTTTAATGGCCAGCACTGATATGTTAGAGAACAAGGTGGCCGAAGGCAAATATGTGACCCTGGAGTACAAAACCTTAAGTCTTAAGTCGCTTGGGTATATTTTTAGCAATAGCCAAAAAAGATTTTTCTTTTATGTCAAAAATCATTAGGATATTAAGTAAAGATCATGTTCCATGAAGATATTTTGTAAATTTCCTACCGTAAATATATCAAAACTTCATATTTGATTAGTAATATGCATTGCTAAGGACTTCATTTGGACAACTTTAAAGGCGATTTTCTCAGTATTTAGATTTTTTTGCACCCTCAGATTCCAGATTCTCAAATAGTTGTATTTCAGCCAAATATTGTCATATCCTAACAAACCATACATCAATGGAAGGCTTATTTATTCAGCTTTCAAATGATGTATAAATCTCAATTTCAAAAATTTGACCCTTATGACTGGTTTTGTGGTCCAGGGTCACATATATATATATTGCACAAGTTAGCTTACAGATAGTAAATACCTATGCCTCAATAAAATTAATCGTACATAATAAATACTAATTTAACAATTATAGTTTATGTTATATAATATAATACAAAATAGTAATATGAAAGTACACCCTTATCTGCAAAATTGCTCAACATCTGTTGTAAACAGTCTTTAAATATGGTTTCTGATATAAAAAGTACATGAATGATGCAGCATCTGCGTCTGATATCTTTTGCAGGATGTTCCTCTCCGAAGGTTTTCTTCAACTGCAGTACAGCAGCCCCAGATGAACATGGATTGGAGTGTGCAAAGACTTGTTTGCAACAGGAAGTTGACTGTGTGAGTGTGCAGATTCCAACTCTCTTTTTCTTTACCAAAGTCTATCACTTGATTTTGCTGATGGTGTTATTAGTGTGTATAACAGCATTTTGCTTGTAAATAATGTTTTCTTCCCTTCTTTCCAGTTCTCACTGGACTGTCAGTCTGGCTGCCAGTGTCCTTCAGGTCTGTTGGATGATGCCAGAGGACACTGTGTTAAACCGGATAACTGCCCGTGTAAACATGATGGACAGTTTTATGCACCAGGATCTAAGATAACCATAGATTGCAATAAATGGTCTGTAAAACCCTTGTTATTTTAGTATCATTAATATACTATTGTAGTTTTTATATTTTCCATTTTAATTTTAATTTTAAAGTATTAGTAATTTTGTGTTTTTTTTTCATTTTTTAAACTACTTTTAAAAAATATATAGTTTTTATTCATTTTTATTTCAGTTTTAGTTGTTTTTTAGTACTTCAGGTTAAACTGTGCACATTATAAATGTTGCAACTAGCTTAAATAAAATAAGTTCATTAAAAAATATATATATATTTACTTTTTTTTTAGTTCAGGTAATGTTTTTTTTATTTCAAGTAATGAAAATGTTTCTTAATTTATTTTTTGTTAACAATAATAACCCAGTGTAAAACAACAGCCATTACCATTGCCACATTAAAGTTACATTAATATAAAACGTCTCAGGTTACTTATGTAACCATGGTTCCCTGAGTAGGGAACGAGACACTGCGTCCTCTAGGGGTCGCTATGGAGAACGCCTCGTCATGACCCGTGTCTGAAGCATACATTGAAAAAACACCAACAACACGTTATCCAACCCTCGATACCAATCATCTGTCATTTGTGCTAAAACTGTACATGTGGAGTGGCCCTTTCTAAAAGCATGCTGATAATCTGATATCAGATTATTCTGTGACACATAATCCTGTATTTGATCATATACTGCCTTCTCTAGGATCTTACTGGTAACACACTCACCGAGCGGCTATTAGAGCCACTAAATTGTATTTTTCTATCTTTAGTCAAAGGCGTAATTTTAGCTTCCTTCCAAGCTTGTGGAAATATTGATTGCTTAAGACTTATATTAAAAATATGATGTATTGGACCAGACACATAATCTACAGCTAATCGGATCAGTTTATCATCTATATTATCTATCCCTGGTTGTTTGTCTTTACAGACAGATTTTATTAGCCTTTTCACAGTTTCTTCTCCCAATTCACCAAACTCAAAATAACAGTTCTTATCTCTCATGTAGTTCTTTATATTAAGAATTGAAGAGGTATTTTCTGTCACATATGATATTTCTTTCCTCAAATTCTGTATCTTCCTGCTAAAAAAATCATTCAAATAATTAGCAATTTCTTCAGGTTTTGTCATATAAGTACCTTCACAGTCAATTGAAGCAGGTTGTGAGGACTTCTGTCTTCCCATTATATTATTTAATACCTTCCAAAGCTTCTTCCCATCTTTCTTCTTACTACTTAACTGTAATGTATAATATTGTTTCTTTTTCTTTTTATTAAGACCTGTATCATAATGTCTCAGTTTACAATATTTCTGTCTATCCGTTACACTACCGGGTTTTTTTTTGCTGTTCTAAAAGCCTCATCTCTCTGTGCCATATAGTCCTTTAATTCGCTATCAATCCAGGATGCTCTACAATCCTTTATAATTAATTTCTTAACAGGTGCATGATTATCAATAACTGGCTGACATTTTCTAATAAATAATTCAAGTGCATTATTTGGTTCTTCTACATCATAAATCTCTGACCACTTTATATTACTAATATCCCTCAAGAAATCCTCCTGGGAAAACCTCTTTATATGACCTTTTAAACACAATTCTTTGCTTAGCTTTGGAAATTTTGTTTTTCCTTGCAATCACAACTATATTATGATCACTAAAACCTACTTGAACTGAAACTGCTGCCGTATACAAATCTTCATTGCTCAAATAAATATGATCTATACAAGATGAAGTGGATTTGCCCTTATTATTTATGCTTATTCTCGTTGGTTGTCTAACCATCTGTTTCAATCCACATGCATGAATTATATTCACCAATTGATTCTTTAAAAAGCACTCATGTACTACTAACCAATTAATATTAAGATCACCTAAAAAAACAACTTCTATATTCAATTCACATACCTTATTCAGCATCTCACCCATGTCTTCCAAATATTTATGATTTGAACCTGGTGGCCTATAACAACATCCTACTAAAATTGGCTTGATATGAAGTAAATTAACTTGCAGCCATAGAACCTCCACTTCATTACACATGATATCATTCCTTACTTTTACAGAAATATGATTCTGCACATAAAAGGCAACACCTCCACCGTACTTATTTCTATCTCTTCTATATAAATTATATCCTCTTACAGACACAGCATTATCATCAATGTCTCATCCAAATGAGTTTCAGAATATTAATTGTGTTTGATAGCAACAAATCAGCAACTTCATGTACTTTGTTCCTCAAACTACAAATATTCAAATGAGCGAACTTTAACATTTTTTTTGGCAATAAAATGGCAATAGACATACAATATACAGCACATCACATCGCACCTTGATCCTTGCCACATCCTTACATGTTCTCAATTTGCTTGCCTCTTATGAACAATGAGTTTATCGTACCTTAAGAAAGCAATGTCCCCTCTTTCTCTTGCAGCTTTCATTTTTGGAATTAGTTCCTTTCTCCTCTTTCGAACCGATTCGGGATAATCCTCATTTATAAAAAATATTCGAACCCTTCAGCTTTCTCGCATTGACCATCACTCGATCTCTGTCCTTGATTCTTAAAAATGACACCATTGTTGGGCGAGGCCAACTCCGGATTTCATCCTGTACTTTAAGAGCTTTTCCAACTCGTTGAACTTTCTGTATACCGATGTTGAGTGGGTCCAAATCCAATTTATCCTTAAAAAGAGCCAGCACTTTCTCTTCGGAGTCTGACCCCTTTTCACTCTCAGCTTCAGGAATTCCATCAATAATCACATTCTGACGTCTGGTCTGGGCATCTAGAAAGTCCATTTTCCCATCTATCACCAACATCGATTCCGCCAGTTTATGTATATCGTCTTCGTTTGATTTTTAAATCGTCCACCTCCTTTTGTGTAAATTGGAGGCTAACTTTCAACTCCTGCAGCTCTTTCAAAATAGCGTCCATTCTGACGCTCATTGTTTCCATAAAGGCGTACATACAAACTTTAAAGTTGCTTTCTTGTTGTTGCAACAGTTCTTTATAGAAGGCTTTCTGCTGCTCCATCAATTCACGCACCTGTTCATGTGTGATGTACTGTCCAGAGTCTTTTTCTTTATCCTTACGACCAGCCATATTTTCCCACAGGCAACAAACACAATGTCCCGGCTATTTTGCTGGCAGACTAGGCTTAAATTTTTGGAGATAGTCCTTTTGTTCAAACAATGGAAGACAGAATGAGGGAAACCGTTAGCAAATGTGCACGAGGCTCATTTATTCCATCCATTTATTGACTGACAGCTCTCCTGTCCCCATATTGGAAGAAATCGGGAGTACAGAGGCGTTGTGTGCGCTGTGTAAACATGATGTTACTGTAGTTCTAGACTAAATGTGAATGTGCATTAATTCATCCCACTCACAAAAACAGATTTAGTATTCATCAAAATGAATTAAAACAGTGAAATGCAAACTCAGAATATGACGCAAACCTGCAATAATTAAATATGTTAAATAACACAAATGTATCTAATCCCATTTTATTAACCAATATCTTTGCTGCTGACCTTTAATGATCCAGTTCAACCATACTAATAAGCAAAAATTACTTTAGAAAAACTAACAATTGTGCTTTGTTTTTTTATTGCTGAAGAGTGTTTCTTCCCCTGCTTTCTACTGTACAGACGTGAATTTACTTTT